TGTTTTCTTCGGGTCCTCTGAGTGAGTTCTTTTTTATTTGAAACGTATTAAGGCTCCCATATACCTTAAATATGTCCCAAACTGAAAATTGCGCCGCTTGTAGCCTAGCTATAACAAGAAAGCATTACTCAATCTTATGCTTTTCCTGCGATCAATGGAACTATATTAAATGCGTTGATCTGTCTGTAGCTCAGCTTAAAAATTTTGAAATGGAATTGAAGAAATTCCGAGGTGATCGCTGGAATTGTCCTTCGTGCCTAAGAGCGGAGGTACAAAAATCTCAAGCTAATCGCAAATCGCTCTCTCCTGTGCCATCGTCCGTGCAGCCAGAGCACAACCCAGGCGACCTTACGTTACTGGATATTATGAACAAGCTCGATAGGATGGAACTGGAAAGTAGGGAATTGGCCAAAATGTACAATGAACAGCTTGAAGTAAATAATAAACTTCAGAGAGAGATCGACAACGTAAATACTCGAATGCTTGCTGTAAAGAATGAACTAAAGAAGCGGAATGGCCTCTCTGGGATCGATCAAAGTGAAGTTTTATTAGGAGTACTGTAACAGAGAGCAACTTAAGAATAATATTATCGTTGTTTGGTTTTCGTATCCCTCCATTATATATTGTTTACTGTTTCGTGGGTTATGGGATAGGCAAGAAAAGACTAATTATTCTTTGGGACGTTTCGGTGCTGTATTGCGCTAATGGTTGAAAAAGGCGCAATACAGCACCGAAACGTACCAAAGAATAATTAGTATTTTCTTGCCTATCCCATAACCCAGGAAACAGTAAACAAATTAAATAAAGTTATCGTTTTTGGTCACCCTGAACCCACGTCGGAGGAGGAGGACGGTATGGAATCTGCAGGTAGTTTCCTACAAAGTGTGTGTCCAGCATTTGACTTATCAAATATTTTGCACGTATCACGGCCGTGCTCAAAACTCTGCCAGCTGTCCACGTCCTTTGAAAATATGCTGCAAAGATAGTGGCACTGTCGTCGGTGTGTTGAAGTAGTGCTACAAAATTAGGAACAACCCAAGACTTAAACATCTTACAGTTGCCTCAGACAAAACTTTGAAACCAGATGCAATTTTACAAGAGTGTTAAGGAACAGTTGATGCAGCGCAAAAGCGCTGGTGAGGCAGACTTAAGAATTAAGCACATCAGGAGCATTCCCACGATAGTGAAAATTAACAACGCAATATCGGAAAACTAGATGCATCCAGCAGGGGTAATCCCATTTCTTCAACTATACACTGCTGCTTTCAAAACGTTCGCGTCTTAAACACAAAAATCCTGGACTTCCAAACAACTGTGGCGGCGTCGGGAATGGACATTATCGCTATTGCGGAGACATGGTTGATGCCCGACATTGGAAATTCCGAAATCATCCCAGAATTTTATGATATATATCGCAGTGACCGCAAGTTCGACCGTGTGGACTCCACTAGGGGAGGAGGAGTGCTTCTTGGCATCTCCACTTTATTCAAATCACGCCTGGTCTTACTGCCAGGTCTGGAGGCAAGTGTACCACTTACAGACTTTGTCTGCTGTAGAACGGTTATCAAATCCTTCATTATTTTCATATTTGTTTTATATATACCGCCGTCAGTACCTAATGTGATGTGGAACTTTTTTTCGACACATTGGTTTCACAAAATCTCCAAAATAAAAAAATCCTTATCGTAGGCGACTTTAACGCACCCCTTCTCGTTAACGACGAATCAGTAGATCGAAATAGTAAAATTGTGAAGAATTTCATGGCCATATTTAACCTCTCCCAATATAATGGCATTCTAAATAGCCACAACCGAATGCTGGATCTTGTCTTGTCTAATGTTCCCTGTAATGTTGTAAGGAATGACGTTCCTCTTGTAAATGAAGATACATACCATCCATCTCTCTGTTTTGATTTTGATGCGTCATGTGCACATGTTAACAACTTTAGGCTAAACAAATATCCACCAAAAGAATTTAATTTTCGAAAGGCTAATTTCCCTTTATTGTACGAATCTGTCCTTAATGCTGATTGGTCTGTTGTGTATGCCTCGACTGGTGTGGATGATGCATGCTCGGCCCTGTACAGTGTTCTTAACCACATTTTTAAATGTTGCGTTCCCCTGAAAATAAAACGGAGTCGGAGATATCCCTCATATTATACGCGGGAGATTAATAATAACATCCGCAAAAAGGAAGTTGCACGTAAAAGGTACCTTAAATTCCGAACTCAACTTTGCTCTGATCAGTTTAATACACTCCGTAAACGAGTGAAGTCTCAAATTAAAAAAGCTTATATTGGGTACATTGAAGGTGTTGAGCTGTCTATCAAAAATGATCGCAAAACCTTTCGGCCGTTTATCCAGAGTAAAAAAACTAGACCACAATTCCAGGCGAGATGCATTTTGAAAATGCACAACACTCAAATGCGCAGGACATAGTTAATACTTTTGGCACATTTTTTCACAGCGTCTACACTGAGTCCGCTCCAAGCTACGGTGAGTCAATTTCATTATGTAATAGTAACATTGACGTACCATTTATTGAATTAAATGATATAATCAGAGCGGGTAAAAGGCTCAATAACACGATAACTGCGGGAGCGGACTCTATACCAAGTTTTATAGTTAAAGATTGCCTTGGTGTTCTGGCTGACCCTCTGCAATTTATTTTTAACCTCATCCTTAAAACCAGCTGTTTTCCTTCAGCATGGAAAGTGGCCAAGGTAATTCCAATCCACAAAAAAGGCGATCGCTCATTAATAACTAACTATAGACCTATATCATTACTCTGTTATTTCTCTAAGATTTTCGAAATAGTTATACATAATAAACTTTATCCATTGGTTGAGGAGCAACATGGCTTTATGAGTGGCCAGTCATGCATGTCCAACTTTTCCTGTTTATCCCATAGTTTGTGCACTACTTTGGACAGTGTCGGCCAAGTCGACGTAGTATACACCGATTTTCGTAAAGCCTTTGATCGTATTGATCACTATATTTTGACCAATAAGTTGCACGCCTTGGGCTTTTCGGGTAGGCTGGTGAATTTGCTTAAGTCTTACCTGTTGGATAGAAGTCAGTTTGTACAGTGTGAGGGCTTCAGATCATTCCTATTCAATTCCTCATCTGGTGTCTCGCAAGGGTCTAACTTGGGCCCTTTCCTCTTTAACATCTTTGTAAACGATCCTATTGAGACACTGCCTTGTTCGAAGCTAGAATATGCCGATGACCTTAAGCTTTTTGCCACAGTTACTACTACCCCAGGATTGTATTACGTTACAGTCGTGCCTTGATATTTTGAATGATTGGTGCAAGGAAAACAGGCTTCTTTTGAATGTTGAGAAGTGCAATATTATCAGTTTCCACAGAAAAAAAATTCCTGTTGTATTTGACTACCATTGAAGGTACTAAGTATATTGGCTCGGCTCAATCAAATCAAGGATTTAGGAGTGATATTCGATAGCCGTTTGACTTTTGTACCTCATGTTAACGCAACATGTGCATCAGTCCTCCAGACGCTTGGCTTTGTTTTCAAAAACAGCAGACATTTTTCAAATCTATTTACCTTTAAACTTTTGTATTACACTTTTGTAAGTTCAAAGCTTGAGTAGGGTGCAATTGTGTGGAGTCCTATATATGATTGTCATGTTAAAACTATTGAAACTGCCCAGAGACTATTTCTTAAAAATTTAGCAGTTCAATCTTTGGCCGACCGGAGAAAGGTTCAGGCAGTGAGGTTTTTATATAATCTCTTGCACCTTGCACCATATTATAGACTGCCCATACCTAGTCGCTCAAGTGTTGTTTCATGTTCCACGCATTGGCGGCAGATATAGTCGGACATTTCATCTGTGCACAGCTAAATCTAACGTCTTATCACAGAGCCCGGTGTATCTAATGTGCGCTGTTTTCAATGCTGTGTCGGGCGAATGTGATATTAATCATGATAGGCTGTCGCGGATTGTTGGTGCTCTTTCCATTGATTAATTATTAGCTTTAGGTTTATTGCATTGGTGAAAAAAATGTTTTTGTTTGTTGCATTTTTTATTATTATTATTTTTTTGCTCTGTTTTTGTTATTTATCTATAATTTAGCACGGTATATGACTATGACAATAGGTATAGTGTGCTGTTGTGCGCGATTTTCTATATAGTTTTTCTTTAAATTGTATGTGTTTTTTCCTGTAATTGGGTTTATTCCTGTTGGAAATAAAGGCTTATTATTATTATTATTATAGTATAGTACTTTCTATATCCTCATAGAACTTCCTCCAACTCGGATCCTCTCCAGGTGTCTCTTGAACTTCTTCAACATGGTTCTATATGTATCCCACTGGCTGGTTCTTCTGGCTCTGTTGAATTCTATTCTAGCTTTTCTTCTTAAATTGGGAAGGTTCTCTATATGATTAGATTAATCTTTGATCACTGAATACCTTTCTCGATATAAAATTCTCGAAAAAAATTTAAATATCTTATCTAAAATGATGAAAGTTGCAACAATTTGCTGTACCTATAGCAGGCGCTTGTGGCTAAGAAGATTTGATGGAGAAAAAGATTTTATATCAATAAAATACTGTCCCTTAAATACTCTACATCGATGATTTTCAATAACAAGCCAAGCTGAATGCTGAAAAATGAGATGTTTCCCTATCATTGAACAGGAACAAAATTACCAATGTGTCGGATTTTGAGCTAGTTCTTCCTTATAGAGAACTTACCCATTCCAATAATGAAAACTAAATTTTCACTGTTTTAATTGTTAAAATGTTTATAATATAATATATTTTTAATTTCTGCCTTCTAACAGATTCGTGATTCTATCAGAGTTTTGTCTTTCAACGTGAAAATACTTACTTATTTAAATTAAGTTTTGATAATTTTTTTATGTTCCAGTTTTTCTCATATAGGTATATCTTTTCCCATTTACATACTTATATTAGGTACTAGAAATTCAATTTTATTGAAGGATATCTTAGTATCAAAAACCTAAAATAAAACCAAGTTATTATTAAAACACTCTAAATATATTATGTATTTCAAAAGAAATAAGCTTATATGTACTCACATTAAAACGTTATTTATATTAATTGATTACAAAATTATAGTATTTTTGGTTAATACAAATAAATATTATTTCTAATTATATAAAAAAAAAGGAAACAAAGAAAAATTGACGAAAATTTTTCGACAATTCGTTATCTAATTAAGTACAACTAACTGAAAGAAATCCAAATCATTGAACATAGAAGTCCTATTACCTATTATAAAAGTAAAATCTACAATTTTTTTTTTGTTTTCGCCTTTTGTCGTAATAATTTATCAAAATCGATTTTGTTTTCTAATTTTTCGCCTCACTTTTGATATGGATGGTTGAATTATTGTCCAGTTTGGTAGGAGTTTCCGTTGAAGCAATCAAGTAAGTCTCACCAGTAACGGGATTACGTTCTAGAAAAAAAAAAACTTAAAAGTAAAACATATCTTATATTATATTAGGTAGGTACTTATTAAACCAACCACTTTTATACATTCTCCTCCATCAGTGATGGTAAATTTTATGAGCGAAAATAGGCGCATATACTAATAATTTTAATGAATACTAAAAGCAACATTAAAGACTTATAATAAAACATGAAATTTTTGCACTAAGTACCTACCCAAAGAAACCGACATACCATAAAATCTAAAACCATTAATGAGTTTCGTGTGCATGGTTCGTACGGGTAAAGATGGTAACGCACTAATTGTGGCCAGCTAGCTTATATTATAATGGTTACTTCCTTGTGTAAATTTTAAATTTATAACAAGCTAATTAAAAAGTTTTTTGAAATCAGATACTACCTACCTATCTTCAAATACAGGGTGTTTAAAAAAAAAAATCAATAAAATATGTCTCACCTTTATGGACTTTTGTTTTAGGTTTGGCTGGCTTAGAATCCCAAGAGGCCACTCCGTTTCCAGTTACAGGGTTGCGGTGGGTAACATCTGAAATAAGAGAATATAATAATGGAAATAGTATATATATAATTTTTTTGAATAACATCAACAGTGCGTAAACAGGAATGGATAAAATTTACTTCTTTGTTCTAGTACAGTTGGTACTTATCGAACATTCCTTCATGAGATAAGGACAGCAACAGTAGGTACCTATGCTCCAGTAATAGATGGCAGAATGAAAAAGAAGGAACAGTTCTATAGAACTTTAGCTTCAATAAAAGGAGATGCATGGAAACATGGCAGAAATGGTTAAAACAATTCGACAACTTTTTAATTGCTGCTGGAATCACAGATGACAACAGGAAGGAAGCAATGTTAAAAAAGAAATTGAACACTCATTTCGTATCTAAAGTTAACACAGTATTTGAAATATTCAATTTTCGACAAGCTAAACAGCTGATGTCAGAGTCTATTGCAGTGATGGTATATTAGGGAATTTCTCCCTAGATTCAGGGAAATTTTCAGTAATTAGGGAAAAAGGGAAATTTATGCCAGATTTAGGGATTTTTTTAATTTATATTCTCGTATTATTTTAGCGCAAAATGGAAAATAATTTAGCATTTTTTATACATATTATGCTTTTTATTTATGAAAAACTAGCTAATGACCCGCTGCGTTGCCAGCATGAAAATACATTTTGAAATAATACATTTTTTTTTAAATTTTTTTGTTGATTTTCTAAAAGTTTTTTTTTTATCCGATACCAGAGTCGCTTGCCAGTGAGTTCAGTCACGCAGTTTAAGCTCTCCAGAGCTGCTGTAGAGCGCCTCGGGCTGTTTATAGGCGTTCCAGTGTATCAGAGTTTCGTGCAACTGAACTTTTTTTTTCGGAATAAAAAATAGCCTATATCACTCCCCTCTATTATAGCCGAATTTGATTGACCGGATTAGATCGATCTGGTTCAATTCAAGTGAAACACACTGTGTTCGATTGAGGTTGGATAAGTGCACCCTCATCTACAAAAAAATGATCTAGATCAGAAGAAGTTCACTTAAATTGAACCCAAATCGAACTCTAGGTCAATCGAATTCGGCTTATATACAGATATGTGGTATTAAATTCAAGATCGGTCCAGCCGTTCTCGAATTCAAAAAATAATAAAGTTACGTCGGTTGAATGCGCAAGCCGAAATGAATGAAATGTGGCAACGTTGTTTCATGTCAAAAAAAAGTTTGGTTATGTTTTTATGTAATGTGAATGAGTTTGTTTATAATTAAATTAATAATTAATTCAAAATTAATTTCTTTTTCCGAGATGCGTGACCTATCCACAAACCTTCCTTGGGATGGCCATAACAACCTACCAAAGTTTCATCGTAATCGGATGAGTGGTTTTGTAGCGCATATCCGGATACCCCGCGAACATTGATTTTTATATATATAGAAGAAGAAGATAAAGATAACAATATCATAATGAATATACACCGTTTATGCCGCTTAGTACGTATTAGAGAGAGAAAAGAGAAACAATCTCTATTGCAGGTTGCTTGCATAGATCGAATATTTCTCTCTAACGCGTACAAATAGAGAAAGATACGAAACAAATATTTTATACTTAACACAATGTCGTCCAATTGTTGTTTTCAGATTTTACATTCTATCTATTTGTACTTGTTGACAGTTTTAAATGATTTCCAGGTTCGGATGCGGGATTCCCCCATACTAGAAATCGAATATATTCTGAAACTAGGGATTTTTATATCAATTTAGGGAATTTTTGGCGTTTGTATGGGGAATTTCAACTACACCGATCTACCAACACTGGTCTATTGAAGAATATTATGCTAGGGTATTGAAATTGAGTACTAATTGTAACTTTAACGACAAGAACAGGGAGATTAAATCTCAGATGATTCAATGTAATACATCTTCAAGATTAGGGAAGTATGGATTAGCTGAAAACCCAACATTAGAACAACTGTTTGCCCAAGCTAAGGCATATGAGTTAACAGACACTCAGGCTCAACAAATGGAACCGAACACAGTGGTAGTTTCTCGAATAAGTAGGTAACAGAAATAAAACAAGCAACACAACAACAAAAAAATCACTATTCGTCCAGTCAAACAAATATTAACACCATAGGCGGTTCTAGGTGGGGGCTTGGGGGGGCTAAGCCCCCCCAAATCTGGAATTAGCCCCCCCAAATTCAAATTAGTGATGAGTGGCAAAAGTTTGAAGTCCCTGAATAAAAAATATTCAAGCGTTAGGATTAATTAACTACCTTTAACTAAATTTAATTAATTTCACTGATTTAATACCTTTATCTAATTATTTCATAAAATTTTATTCAATTATTTCATAAATATCCGAAATTGGGACGTCTGGAAACAGAGGCAACCTTAGCCCCTACTGCTAGGGACAGGGTTGCCTCTGTTGTCTGTAGGTGTGTGTAATAAGTAGGAGCAGCCAAAGTTTACGCGCTGTTCTGGTATGTGCTGCTCTGTGGAAGCTCCTGTGAGAGCTCAACTATTTGCCTTTCATGAACAGTTAACCTTTTTTCCTGTATGGTAGCTATACTACTTCTTTTTTATCTACAAAATCTAGGGTGGCGTAAGCATCTCCATTACTCAGATGGACCTTTCTTAGCCCAAAGTCAATTATCGCGTTATTTTTTAACAGGAAATCCGAGCCTAAAATTAAGGGTTTCGGGAGCTTTTCTACTACTAATGGCTCTATACAATATGTATATCCTGCTATCTTCCCTATTGTGAGTTTAGCCTCCAAGACCCCAAGGGGGAAATTTTATTGACACCTACGGTCACCAAAGAGATCCCCTCATTTGACGGTATGATTTTGTCAATCAACGATTGTTCAATTATACACCGACTTGATCCAGTATCTAAGTCTATTTTTGTGTGCCCAGCCGTGACTTTAAAATCGCTTGAATTACCGCCCTTTCGCTCGTCCAATGTTAGTAGGCTGGTTTGATCAGTCATTTGTTGTATCAAGGTGCGTTCTTTCACCTCGCTCAATTTCAGGACCAACGTTCTCAACTTGGCGTGGTCCATCGTTCCTGAACTCATTAGGTAGTAAGTTTCGTAGAACGATGAGTGGAGACTATTCTCGAAATGGTCCCTAAAAGTCTTGAAGGGCATTTTAGGGTCTATCTCATAAGCTAGGGCATATAATTCGAAGTAGAAGTGCTTGATATCCTCGTTTTCCTGTTGTCTTCTCGTATTCAACCTGAACTTCAATTTTCTTGGCGGTTGTTCTCCGCTAAACTCCTTCAAGAAGTCTGTTTTTATATTTTCTCATGTTCGGTTTTGATTTGCCTGGCTTGATTTATATGCTGAAAACCAGCTATGCGTGGCGCCTTCTAAGAAATATCAAAAAAAAGATATTTTGTAGGAGTCGGATCAGCCACTCAGGGCTGCTGCTCTTTCATATTTGCTCGGAAAATTAATTGGGGAATCTAAACTTGGGTTAAAAGTCGGTGGTTCCATGAATTTTGGGGTTGCGGGACTTTTGGCTTCTAACGAAGCGTCCTACTGGATTGTTGTGTTTGCCATTTTCTGGTTTCTTCCTGACTCCGGATTTATCAATATATCGGACTTTTGTGATTTGCTCTTCAACTACGGGTCTGGAGTTGCATCGATTTTTTCGACCGATACGTCGGCTGTTTTGAGACTATCACTGTTGAATCTCGCTGCAGGATGGATATCATCAACTAACGTTAAGTGAAGAAAGTAGATACATAACTACTTTTGCGACACACCTAGGACTTTATCGTTACAAACGATTTAGATAGATTGAGTTTTGGAATAAATGCTGCTGCAGAGATTGTTCAAAATACTGTGAGACAGGTTATTGCTAATATTCCAGGTGTAATCAATTACAGTGATGACATATTAGTTTTTGGAAAACAATAGAAGAACACAATTCATCGTTGGAAGCACTTTTAAGAAAATTACGAGGAGCAGATTCAACAATAAACCCTTCAAAATGTATTTTATGTCATACCAATACATTATTGTGTTTTTATACCTTAGATACCATCTACATAAATCATTACTTTATGCCCGTGCGGGCATTAAGTACACATTATGGCCCGCGTGGGCATAAAGACGCAAAAAACAGTTTTCAATTAACTTATTCTTCTCAGGTATTTATTATTCACAACCAACTGGTATGACATAAAAGTTTGTATGCACCACGGGTACTAATAAATATATATATATACCCTCGGGCGACTTACGAACCCTCGGGCCAGAGGCTCTCGGCTTTGTAAGACTGTCGCCCTCCGGGCATAATCATCTACTTAGTACCCTTGACACATAAATAACTATTCAGTGTCCCAAAGGTTAAGATTTTCGGATATTTGTTTTCAAGTGAGGGAATCCAACCAGATCCTGACAAAATAAATAGCATTTCAAACATGAGACCATCAGAAAACCCTTACTAGTTAGAAGTCTTTTGGGCATGCAGTGCCGGCCCGAGCTTACTTTTAGGATGGAGCGAGGTCCAACTTTGGCGCCCCTTCAAATGTGAATCGTATAGGTCTATCCACCAATACAAGAAATTTCGTAAAATTCAATAATCTGCCTCTTTTACTGTATTATTCGCGTGCTTATTCCCCTTAAACTGGAGAAAGCAATGGGAAAAATAATTCATGACAGCCCTGTTCAGAGTTCAGGACCGTATTTGATTTTTTCTTGGATACGGCAATATTTGTTTTTTTTTTTTCAATAAGTAATTGGGCTAGAACAAAATTTGTAGATTCCTATTGGCACTAAATAATAGTAAGCAGTGGGCGAATTTCGACGAGAACGTACCTTTCAGTACCTGTGAATAACACAAGGTCATTCAGGGCAGGCCGCAGATACCTAACTCGCAATATTCATCCTATGCTTTGTTACCCTTTTGCCCATAATTTTTAAAAACTAACATTGCAATAAATTTTGATTTAATAGTTAAAAGTGGATTGTGGATTCCTAATTTTAAATGAATAAGCAGAGCATTGGGCTAGTACAACCCAACCTACTGGTTGG